GGCCTTGGCCGTTTTATTGAGGCGGGCGGGTGAGACCCGCCCCCCTCGTTTACCTCCATTGCTATTGTGCTTTTCAGCAGCTAATAGCAATATTTCAATTCACTTTAACTATAAAAAAATCACTATTTATAGAAAAAAATTAAACTTAAAGTTTAAAGTCAACCGCGCTTTTTCAAGGTTCCCGCCAGAAATCCTGACACTTGACTGATTTCAAACCACAGTCTTGCATTTAGCAATTGGATTTTGACATACGGGAGTCATAAGTCTCATTTCTGAATCTCATGCTAAATGTTATGAATAATACAATAAAACATTTATTCTTATATATCGCTTTCATTTTCCTTAACCATCGGACTTTTTTTCTAGTGGGCAGGCATGACCGGGGCAGTACCAATGTGCGTTTTCCAATTACAGCACTAGAGCGCATTTTGCGGCATAATGCTCAACGTTGAGTGTTCCAACTACAGCAACGCTTCGCACAATTGAGCACTCTCAAAACGAATGCTCTCGCAAACAATACCAACACAGTGACAGAAAATTGACCAGTATTTTTCTTTAAGTTGGCATTTATCGAAATTTTCGTTAGTAAATATTATTTATTGTTGAAAAATTTGTAAGGCTTTCGTTTCGTCGTAGATTTTGAAAATAATTAAAGTTATTTCAAACTGCTAAAAAAATAAATATTAGTATGGATGAAGGTATAAATAGTTACTTTTTTTATATTCCACATTTAAAATATGAATACAATTTTATTTTAAAATTCGGATCTGTAAACAAATTTACTTTACAGGATTATACTTTAGAAAAAATTGCAATGGTTTTGAAATAGTATATATTTTTTTAGAAATCATTAAAAAATATTACTCAAAACGTAAATGATGTAAACTTCTTACATGAAACTAAATATTTTACTGTTAATTTAGCTTGTTAAAACCTTATATTCTTTAAAGGTTTTCTCTTATTTCAGTAAAAAAAATTTAATGAAATAATTTGATTATTAAATTAAGCGTAAAAAGTTTTCAACCAATTATTATTGTTTACCACATTATTTATACATTAATGAGGTTGCTAACTCTATTCAGACCATTTTTTTGTCAACACTAACTTAGCGCACTCTGCTGATGCATTTGAAAACTAATTCACGTTCCAATTAAGCTTCAGCATTATGCGGCATTGTGCGGCACTGAGTCGAAAAATGCTCTGTAATTGGAAAACGCACAATGTCTCACAGAAAGCCGGTGTGAGCCCGGAGCCCATCAATCGCCCTCCCAAGTATGAAGGTGCAGTTTTGCCGCGCACCACCACTTTGTGGAACCAGCTAAACCATTTTTTATTCGCTTCAGTCTGACCAAATCGTTAATAATAAAGCTTTAAACGTTTCGCAAAATTAAACCTTGACTTATTGACTTAAGGTCTAATTTCACATGCGTCAATGTTTCTGAGGAAAGAGACAAATGAATTAAAACCGTAACTATATAGCACGAAAGTTCATAATCCTTTAAAAAAACATCCGTCTTACGAACTTGTCCTGACGCGAGTTTAACATTTTTTACCCATTCCAAAAAAGTGTACAACGCCGCTAAAGAAGTTTTCACTTCAAAAAAAGAACTAATATCTGACTACACTTATAATCTACTACTAACCCTATAATATATATCCATAATTCTATACCCAAAAAACTTGAGACAACTTGGCTCTTTAGACTAAATCACTTCAACAATTAGGATCCAGTAACGCTAAACTATTTTGTATGGGAATGACATTAGCTCATGCTTTGTCATTTTTATACTACATTTTAAGCTAGTCGTATTGTAAAATTTGTAGCAGATAATTCCTTGTTTTCATGTTTACATGTCTGTGATCTGTCTACGCATCTATACTTAATACAAATATCAATAATAAAAAAGTTACCTACTTGACGCTGGCTAATGCACAAACCGTGCCAGAGCCATAAAGGGAAAAAAAATAATAATAAAGTTCATAATGTCAATTATCAGCTGTCACTACATGAACTACATCTTATGACATTGATATTATATTAAATATTTAAATTTAGTGTTTTAACACCTTGGTAAATGGGTTTTTCAATATTTTATAAATTATAACTTTTAAAATCTCATGTCACAAGTTACGCTATTGCAACGTTTAACATAGTTTTCACAAAGTGCAAATTTAATATATAAACGCATACGTTACATATAAATATTTATATTTAAGAAGATTTGAATTATGTATCGTATTGCATAGGCATCGTATGAGCATTTCGATTAAAATGTCCTTATATTTGCAAAACAATCTCTAAGTGTGTTATCTCTTCATAGGATAATGACGAAGTTACTGGAATGGGTGTCTGCAGCATCAGCATTCTTTGCAATATGGTACTCCTTGATTGGTGGATATGTGAAACATCCAATGATTGAAAATAATATGGATCTTATTCTTATTTCACCTATTTTTCTTTTAATACTTTTTGGGGTTTATGCTGTAACAGTTGTTGTATACCGAGTATTTACTTTTAATAATTGTGAGGCAGCATTTTTGGAACTACAGAAGCAGATCAAAGAAGCTAATACAGAACTAACTGCAAAAGGACTGAAATGGTAGCTTGTAAAATAATGACTACCCAAATCTTTATACACTTTCACTTTTTCTAAAATAAATGTTAGTACTTTATTTTAAAAATCAGCTGTTGAAAAGTTGGGCTGATTTTTTTTTAATTTACGTAGGAAACTTGTAAGATTTTATAAATTGTGCATTCCATTTTTATCATCAACATAAAAGCAGTCAAGTGTTCAACTGGTCGAATTTGATAAAGTTTCTACGACATTTTACTGACTTTAAACCCAATGCATTTTTTGTACCTATCAACAAGAATATATTGTTATATGTATTGATTAGAAAATGGATTTAGTAAATAAAAAACCTAAGTAACAAATAGCTAGTGTTTTATTTATCAAGCTAATCATAAGATTTATTTACAATATTTGTATTGTAACTTAGTAAGTTAAGCGCTTTTGGCTTTACAAAATGTAGGTAAACTTATAATAAATAATATAACAATTATATATTTTATTAGGTCATGTACATTTGATTGTTTATAATTTAATTATATTTCAAATTTAATCTAAAAGCCTATAAATTATGTAACTGAAATTCAGTGTTATTCCATAATAATAGCACATGGCACATTAATAATTATAATTTATAGTCTTGTATTAAGTATTCAATAAATTAATAATATACTTAGAAATAAATAAACTGTATGTACAATAATATACAATATATAATTTTAAATCTTCTTTGTGACATATTTTTAAAATATTTTAAAAGCATTTAATATCTTTATGTATTCATAATATTAATAAATATTGCTTTTTCTAATATACTGTAGTGCAAAATAATTATTGTGTTTCAAGAATTTGATACAAATAAATTATTTTTAATATTATACAATTGTAAAACTGTGTGTTATATGACTTATAAATAAACACTGTAATCTTAAAGCTGCATTATGCCACACATGGCAAAGAATCAGGTTTGCTTATTGCCACAAATGGACACTTGCTATACCTACAATGCCTGAAAGTATGGTGCCAACCTTTAAGCATGTGAAACACTGGTTGATGATGACATGTGTTTATAGATCCAAATAGCCAAACTCCAAAATTATTTTGCACTTACAAAACTACAGGCATTTTAAAGCTATTTTTAAATTTCAAAAGTATCTATCTACGCGTAAATTATTGAATGGAAATTCTTTAATGCATAGAGATTGAATAGAATGAAATATAGTTTACTGGAATATTCTGTCCTCATTTTGTATTAGTCCATTGTTTTTTTTTTACAAATCAATTTAACCACATATACATTGGACATGAAATTTACTAATTTTAATTCATTTGTAATTAGTGGGTGGGTGGTACTCCTCGTCGTGGGTTATTGTTTTGTTAGTAAACTAAGAGCAGAAAATGAAGGATATATACATGACTTTTCACAACATGACTTCACAATGGACTAGGATCCACTAATATACCTAATGAGAATAAGACGTAGATTGATTGAAATAAGTTAGGTAGATTATAAATAACTATTTAAGAAGATTGTTAAGAATAATTTCTATTTAAATGTTTAAACTTCGCGCTTGTTACGTTGCCTCATTTAATTCTCAACATACATAGACTAAACTAAAGTATAATATGTTGTTTCACGCAATATCTCCTGTTACGAATAAAAATTGCATTACTTTAATACAACTGTATAAGCACCTCACCGAAAATTACCGGCTGACATAATTTGCATTTAAAGCCAGTCTAACATTCTAGGCTTTAGCTTCCTTTTAGGATTCGAAACTAAAATCATAGGCGTAGTGGAAACTAGTCCGAATACTACAAATGTTACTTAAAATTGGTCCAAAATTACTTATCTAATTATTATCTGCATAATGGTGCACCGAATATTGACGTGATATATTATGTATAGGAAATCAAAAATACTAGCGGAGAAGTAGAGGAAATTCGTAAGGAAAATGGTCTTTTCGACCCAAAAATGTATTTTCACGTTTATGCGCATTTCTGTTTTCATCTTTCCGTACTCTATAGTAATTGGATAACCGGATTTAATAGTTAACAATAAAATCTATATTACTATCACGTACGGCGTAGGCACTACACCGATAAACCAGTATTTTACAGAACGCTTTGGCGAACTACTCGGCTAAGTAATCTTACCTCGTCGGATTTATTAAAACCCGGTGAGGCTTAATAGAAAGTTCATTCCACAGTGACTGATACAGATAGTAGAAAACTTGCCACACGCTTTTGTAACATTATCTAGGCAATCTCAATAACTTAAATATTTGTCTCACGTAAGCACAATTGTAACTAACATGAAATTGTACTTTTAGGTATCGTTATATTATTGTGTTAAGTCATTGAGTTTGATACACTATTGCCTCAAACGGATTGGTCTCATTTGAATGCCAGTTTAAGAAATTCCACTTTTCATACTAGACAAGAGATGGCCACTAGTAGTAAGATGCCGATAGGAGTTAGTTGTGCAGCTGAAGAGTGCCCTGAAAGAATGAGGGCTCGAAGGCGCTGCCGTTCCTGGTAGCGTTTGTCCTCGCCCGGTGGATCGAGACATTCGAATTCACAGCACCGCTCGCCGACGCGGAAATTTTTGCAGAACTAAAATGGAAAGTTATTTTACTAGAGAATATGCACTGTTAAAAAACGAAGTATGATGAATATTGGAGTTCGTTTTATTTTAATGTTTTGCATGCAGTTAATTCTAAGCGTGTCGTATCAAAGTTCTAGAGCACAAAACGCTGATCAACTACGTGTCCGAAACAAGCGGAAGCACAGATGCAATTCACTTGAATTTAATTTTTATAACAATGTGAATACATGACAAATACTTACATATGGTGGGTCGCAGTAAATAGCCTTACACCACATCGGCTCAGAATGGTAGCATACACAAATGGAGCAGACACCAGGCCCAGGCACATATAGCAGCCCATGAGGGATTGTCTTACCCTCCCAATCCACGCAGTCTTCTTCCATACATTCTGGAAACAGAATTAAATAAATGCATTAAAAATACGCTTTAGATGTTTACGATGTTCGATTCTGTGTAAAACAATAACAGACCCAAGATCTGTAGGCAAACGGGGAGGATGAAACCAAGCCAGGAAGATCACTTAAAGTAAATATCATTGAACCAGATGCAGTGTGTCTGGTCCTTGCCCCTTAGAGCTTGGCACTTTCGCTGGCTTCAAATATAGGTAAGATTTAAGATAGTATTGCGAATACAGCCTAAATAGCACGTTATACGTAACTACGAAGGTAATTACTTCTTTTGTCGTCGAAGCCACTTACACGTGACCTATTTAAATACCTTACCTGATTTATTACACGTTCACCGAGCGTATGTTCTTTTGTATAAAGTTGGAATTAGAACAATTTTTAAACCTTATTTTTGTTTGTAAAAATTGACTATTAATTGACTTGGAATTTAATTGTTTAAAGGTAAAGGCAAAATGTTTCTTTATTATTGTTATGTCTAGAAATTTCGATACTGATCGAAACTTCAAGAAAACTTAGGTAATAACTACTATCTTGATTCTAGAGTAAAGACTAATCTTGTTAACAATGGAGGTACGTTTATCTAATTGACCTATCGTTAATGCGGACTTGTCTATTACTATATTAAGTAAGTTTATTTTATTATTTATAGTTGGAGTAAACGTCAAGAACGCATTGCGTCAACCACACGTTTGCGAAGGAATTTGCAATACGAAAAAAACTGATGGAATCGATGGTTTGTATTTTTGAGTTGGGGACACCGTAATTGTGTATGTAAGGTTTTCTGTATGATATTGACGTAAAAATAATAAAATAAGGACATTATTTTTAACGGCTATGATGACAGCCCTGCGATTCTGTAACTCACTTTTCGAACTCACACAGCGGTTTTCGCATCGGCGGTCGCTCTCAAATCAGTCGTGAAGCAGTCATTTTATGATTTGGCATTCTGAAAAGGTGGGAGCTTGTAGTATATTGTTTATTAGAATGCCAAATCATAAAATGACTGCTTCACGACTGATTTGAGAGCGACCGCCAATGCGAAAACCGCTGTGTGAGTTCGAAAAGTGAGTTACAGAATCGCAGGGCTGTTTACTTATAAAATCTCAATTGTTTGTTGCATATTATAAGAAATGTGACAAGCCATGACGAAGCTTGATGTAAAGAATTTAATAAATGTAATAAAATAAATATAGTTAAAAAAGGTTTGGTCGTGTTAAATTATCCTATTGTTTATTTGGGTTTAAAAAAAAAACTACATTTCAACTGTTTTTTACTAGTTTAAAATAGCAACTTCTCAAGACGTAATATAATCTAGTAATAAATATACACGTTTACGTATTCATTAAAGAACGACGTTCAAAAGAAAGAGCAAACATCAACTATGTGAAAGCGGTTTTCTTCTTGCTCGTTAGTCTTAGGATGTGATGAACTTGCTCACGGCTGCTCCTATCGACTCTTATAACTATGTATTTAGTCTTTAATTTTATCATTTAATAATTTTGATGCGGTGTTTAACCTACAGAAAAACGCAAAATTCTAGTAAGAAATAAGAAAATTTAAAAATCAGAAGTTTTGTGTTACAAACAAATAAAGTGGTTGACGCATATACGTGTCGCCGAACGTTACAAATGCCAGGCTTCAAAATAGAACAATTATGGCCTAAAATCATGCAAATGAACAATCGTTGTGTGGTTTTCAGGTTTTTGAACCAGTAAAGAATTTAATAGCTCATAATATACATGGCTTCTTTCTACTTATACCAATTTCTTACGCTTGACTTTTGGCTTGGCTAGAATTGGTGATAGTTAAAACATAGCAAATTTTAATCATAATAAATTTCAATAGTAATATTACGTTAAAACCTATTTTAAATAGCTAAGTATTGAAATCGGTTTCGGTATCGACGCACTAAGCCTGTTCTTATCCTTTCCTGAATTAACCTAATCCTAAGTAGACTCTATTAAGATCATCATCATTTAAATCGCTTTGCCTTTCAGCTTACTTAAGATGTTCTTCTTAAATGCTCGAAAATGTCTAGGACTTTTGTCTTTAACAGCCAAAACGCTTTTATCATAGTTTAGTATACACTTAATTGCCATTTGAATTGTAATATAAACGATAATTGGAGTCTCTTTCTCGCAATCCAATTACGCGGAAGATTAGCAATAGCATTGTGTAAAGTGACGATAAAACAGGGCTTCGCTGGTCACCCGCCATTTCGAATTTGTATATGCTAATTGAGGACTGTTACGGGCAATTTACAGACCGCTGTACGAATGTTCTAATTTAGTAATTGGCAGCGTTTGTCTTTAGCTTAACAAAGCATCCATTTCCTAGAATATAGAGAATAAAGGGCGAAGATAGTTGTCAGATAGCAGAGCATAGGTGAACGCTGTGAAGGATAAGCTATAGTGATTTTAGATTCGTTTGGGGAAGGAATTCTTATTCTTAAGTTCTTAAGCTTAAATTGTGAAATCGATTTCGTTGGGATTTCAATCAATAAAAATCATCGATTTTCAAGAATGTTCTGATATATACCACTATTTTCTCTACATGGGATTAATATAGGTTATTAAACCAAATGATATATGTTCACTGTTCGATTAATGTAGAAAATATGAGTAGGTATGACTTTTTAACTTTGAAGAAAAATAAATTTTCTTTCAAATCATGTAATAAATTTGAAATCTTGGCACTGAAATCTTAGGAAAAACGTGGTGGTCGTTACATTGATGCTCGCGTGTTATATAAGGCTTTGGATACATGAAAGACTAGCTTTATTAATGTCCTCTAATCTTTATATTCAATTATGTGTTTTGCCACACTTTTCTTTTCTTATCTTAAGCTAGCTGTCTCCTGCGGTTTTATCTGCAATACTTTAGTCGTAATCGTATTGTACATAGCCCATATTATTCCTCCATAAATGGACTCTAATTAATTATTTGTTCAATACATTGCATATATATTTCTTCGTATTGTCTCATTTACCTTTCATATTATAAGATTGCTCTGACAATAACAAACAATGAGAAAACTCCAATTTAGATTTATTAAACACTTGAATAATACAAAAAAAACTATTAACACAAACACACTGTATATATTTCCAATTTTATAAAACTAAGAAATAGAACTTGCTTAATAATTTAACAGTAGTATTGTCGTTCGAGTACATCGTCCTTACATGATTTAAACGCCCCTTGTGACCAAAGATCAGTTTATGAGGGACATCGTATACCAAGGGGAAATAGAATCAGTGTTTTTAAAATCATACGTTTTCTGCTTTTACTTTGTTTTATGACATATTTTTGGTTAAGTGCCAATAAGAATCCAAGGTCGTTGGAGCACTTTTGTGAAAATTTAAAGTACATAAAAAATAATGTTGTGCAATGTAAGTAGGTAAGTATGGCTAATATATTCTTAGTGATAATTTATAAATGTTATATACCTATATAAAATTGTATATTTTAACAATAACCTACTCTTGTGAAGCAGACGTGATTTAAGTAACTTTAATAACAAATCGTTTATTTAATAATAATGAACCAAAAGCTGTACCTATCAGGCAACCATTTAATAATGTTCAAACAAGGAACTATTAAAGTAATAATACTAAAGAATGGCGCTACTCAGATACGAAACTAAATGCTAAATTAGTTGATGATAGGTTTAAAGAAGTAACCAAACAGCTCTTAAGCTTTAATCTATGTTGAACTAATTAAAATATTTTATAAATAGCTTAGGTAATATATTAGAACTTAATTGTTTGTAGATGCAAGCTTTCTTTGAGTATAGATAAAGTATGTTTAAATTGTATCGTAACTTTATGACAATACAATTACATTGAATATACTTTTTGAAGTTTTAATAAATAAGGTATAAATGTTTTAGTTAGTAGAACATAGACAATAATCGAAAGTTTTAACATATTCCGATGCACAGTGTCAAGTCGCAATGCGGATTTTCAGCGTCCCATAACTGTATTCGGAGTCACCACAACGTTTACTATCTATATTTTTTAAATTGGCAGATAAAATTGCATCCTATTTTCATGCTATAAGAAAATTCAAAAATCGTATTTGCTATACTTATCGTTATAATATTTTTCATTTAAGCGGCGCCGCTATAAAATAAAAATATTTATATCAAAGAATTGTAATATAATAAAGAATATACAGAATTTAAAACTTGTTTAATTTGACTAACCTGAATTATATAATAAGGTAAATATATCCAGGAGAACTAGAACCTTATGGGTCAGTTATTAAACAGCGTAACGCTTTACCAATTTGAAGAAATATTTTCCAACACATTTGGCGCTCCTGAGAAGTCTTCTGTTACATTAAAATAAACAGTGGTTTTCAATGGTAATATTTACGACTTTTTTATGGATTATGTGAATAAATATATATTAAAAAAGGTAATTTTTGGGTGGTCATATCGGTTTCCTCAGCTTTCATCGGTTGCGCATAAAGAAAAATCCTTTTGTGCATTCGCAGATCCAACGCGCGATACAAATAGCGTATATGCGTTAGATGAATAAAAAAAATACCGTCATGCCGTTAATATAACGAAAAAGCAATTAATAACTTTTAACTATGCAGCTTCAATATATTAAAAAACACGTTCCGTCGCGTCGTCAGCAGCAAATTTCGTCGCCGAAAATTAAATTAACGTAGTGACAAGGTTATTTCCACGGAAGTGTTTAATGAGACTCTCGAGAAATTTATTAAACTAGCTTTGCCTTACGACATCAAACATAGACTTGACTGATGTGTTAGGATTCTTAAAATACCATCTCATATATTGACTCTATTTACTGCCTGCGTAAACCTTTTTGAGTCTTTTCAGTTGGTTTATTAATTTACCTGAAGGTCTTTAATTCGACTCATTTTACAGAAAAAGCTTATAAAAACCAGGATTATCAGGGCTAGTTTCAAAGCAACAAAGATTAGTCTTAGACAAAGAATTTTCTAAGTCGTCAGGAAAAATCACTTTTAGTATTAAAACTTCATTCATCGATATGCTGCATACGTTACGAGTAATTATATAATTTCTCGAATTTATAAAAACTAACTTTTTATATTTCTGCCATCGGTTTTTCTACGTTGAAAAAATACAGAAAAAGAACAACAACATAACCTACAAAGTATGAAGGTAATATAAAAAAAACATAGAAGAGCTTAAAATAGTGAGGTCTATAGTTAAGACTATGATGCTACTGAAATACTACGAAAGAATCCGATACGTTAAAATAAAACGAAAAATATTTAAAACTTCAATTAAAATGTTACGTTCGCTAGGCAATTAGCAATGTAAAACCAATGCCGCGACAGTGATTGGAGGCGGAGATCATTCAAAATTCAATTATAGTTACAGCTGTTTGAATAGTTCGTTTACAATGAAAGTTTTTAATAGAGTCGCCGAGTAGAAAACACCGCAACTTTGTATTTGTTTTTAAATGACTTTTTCTTGCAGTTATGGACATGTCTACACTACTAATATATAGAAAAAAATATTTGTTTTATTGTATGTCCAATGTCCATGCATAAGGGAGCGTTCAAGTATTACGTCACGCAATTTTTGGAGAATATTGACCCCCCCCCGCATGTAACGCGCGGTAACGTTTTCCTGTACCCAAGTATAGTAAAACGTTTCGCGACCACCTCGTGACTCTTTATACCTAAAAGTTACCATTGTGTGGTGTAAAGTACTGGAAATTCACAAATAATACTAACAATAACGGCTTAATTTAATCCCCGCCCCGTATCGTAACGTAAAGGACCCCCCCCCAAAATTCGTTACGTAATACTTGAACGCTCCCTAAATAGAGGTATATTCACCAATAGAAAACTCTCTCCAAGTGCGATTTTAATTTTAGACATAGACAACATTTATTTCAAAGGAAAAAAATTTAATGAGAAATACCAAAAAAAAAATTACCCTTTTTTCTTTCGGTTCGTTTCAAGTGTGTAATGCGTGTGTGCTGTGGTTTTAATTGACCCTGGCTCAGCATTATGCTGAGAAGCAGACGATTCCACAGCATAATGCTGGGCTGTTTTTAATATAAACTTTTTAACATACAACAAACAATGATGGGATTGGTTTTCATTTGTATTGTTCTACAAAGTACTCAATGTCACTGGTATATTAAAACAGCTGAAGCTATTTTGATGGATAGTTTAGTCACTAAATAAATAGGTGAATTAATTAGCATACACTATCATAACAATAACGGTTCAAATTGTGTCTTAATATTTACATATATTTGATAGAGGTCTGTAAATATATTATAGATGGATGCCATCTTATTATAAATTTCAGTTAGCTTAAGCAGCTTATGTTACTTATGAATTTTAAACATTAATAAAAACATTATGGAATATAATTTAGATTACAGTTAAAGAACTTTACTCTCATTATATGAGAAAAAAACATAAAAACAGAAATATATAACGCCACCGTGGTACGCTAAACAATGGTCAAGGGATTTTTATCTCAAACACCTTGGCTTTTAACTTCTGTAACATTGAAATGGCCTATGACTTTTTAAAATGCAGAATAATTAAAGTTTGTGGTTGGCATGACTACTTGCCATTGAGGATCCGGTAAAATCAATGGTTACCACCGTCGCATGACTAAACTTATACAGTGGGGGCTAATTTTCATAATTCGCTGAACTATGTAACTGTTTCACGCTAAGCACCAATTTGCGTTGGCTAAACATCAATGCTAAAACGAATTCATATTATTCGATGAATATATGTAAACTACTAGCTGACCCGGCTAATGTTGTTTTATTATTTCAAGGAAACATTTTTTTAGTTCAATAAAAATAATCTACTATAATAAAAATAGGGGTTGATCGTAGAGGGTAGATGAAAATTATAGGTTGTATGTATTTTTGTATGTTGTTTCATAAAAAAATAAAAACAAAAAAATTTGCCTACAAAATAAATTTTTGTATATCACTATCACTTAGGGGGATGAAAAATAGATGTTGTCTAATTTTTAAGACCTACTGAATATGAATAAAAACATTCATAAGTATCGGTCGAGCCGTTTCGGAGAAGTATGGGAACGAACATTGTGACACGAGAATTTTATTATTTTATTTAGAAGAATTATATTATTTAGAAATTTAATATATTAGATTATATAGCTTACAATTAAATAACTATTATCAGTCTAACAATTTTTGTATACAGACACTACATAAAATAAGCTTATCCTGATAAGCAACTTTTTAAATTAAATTTACTGGAATTTACAATTCAACAGTCACGCCGATAACTGGTTTTTACAAGCAAAGGAACGCTAAACGCCGGAACAATGTTAAATGTACTTGCAAAATCATTTTAAATAAACATATATATTAAAGCTGAAGTCCTCTTGTAAATGTACTCGCGTAAATCACGATATATTCTAAACACTTTAATCACTTGTGGCATTATAAGTGCTACGCTGCTACACAGAAGACAATACGTGCTACGAAAGATTATTACGTTCCTTATATGCGGCTACGGTGTCTCCTAGAACGTTCTACGTAGTGCATAGAAATGATCAAATTATATTTTATTATTATTAATAGCATGTAGGTTAAGAGTATTGTTAATACTCTGTATTTGTATTACTATATAAATGAAAATGCACTCATTTAATGCTTCAATGTTTCACGTTCAAATATTTTGTCTAATCCTCCACAGTAGGTTACGTGGTTATGGTTTCTCATTATAACAAGCATACTATAAAAATCCTGAAAATGAGGATTTAAAGTATTGTATTGTATAAACGGGGTTTTCAAGTTCCATTTTTAAACTTGTCAGATGAGAGCTATACTATAAAGCGAGTGGATTATGCTTACTTGCAAAATCCGACGAAATTCAAAGTATATTTACATACTTATATATATATAGATGCAGTACAGTGATAACCTAGTGGTCAAATGTGTGGTTTTAAGTATTACGGTCGTGTATTTAAACTTCGGACGGTCCACTAGATCTTAACAATTTCTTGCGAAGGACAAACATTGAGGGAAAACCGGTATGATTCAAACCCGGAATATGTGTGTCGAGCCAGAAAGGCCCCACCTACTTGCTCATGAAGAAATATAATTGATCAAACTAAATTGAGGGTAGGCAATAACATACTCGTTTCGTATCACTGATTATTTTATTATTTTATTTTTATGTTCCAATAGTTGAATTGATTTATAAGTAATTTAAGTGGTGCAGAATTAAATAAATCAGTGTAAATGATAACTCAGCCGCAAATATTGTATATATATTTTTTTTTTGACAATTCACACCAATTGACCTAGTCCCATGCTAAGCTGGTGAAGCTTATGTTATGGGTACTAGGCAACGGATATACATACATATTATAGATAGATAGACATATAAATACATATTTAAGCACCCAAGACCTAAGCACAACGCCAAATGCTCATCACATCGATGCTTGTCTCAGCCGGGGATCGAACCCGGGACCCATGGATTCGCAGTCAGCTCATTAGTCTACCAACCACTAGACTAATGAGCCGAAATTATATGTAGTAAACTTCTCCAAAAATACAACGCTTCATGCGTGCAAGTTTTATCGCATAAATGTGGCTATAAATACAACAAATTGCCTGACCAGAAAAATAATTTCAGTTCAATTCCATTTCATTTTGTAATTAGTGCGAGTAAATATTATTCAATAATATATAAGGAAAATTTTCGAACTCTTAAAGGAATCGATTAACCTGTGAGTGATTCATTGAATGAACGTGTTATAAAACCACGCAGCTAATTCAGTACTTGAGGCGACAATTTGTTCAAAAGTTCGGATATGAAATCCCAAAATATGATATTATGTTCTATGATTTGAAATCCGAACTTTTTTCAAATTATTATAGTAAAGAAAATATATGTTCTGTCTTTATTAGTAATCATAACAATCAAATATACAGTATAAATTATAATTTTCTTAACCTTCATAGCAATAAGAAAAATAATAAAAAGAAATTTAAAAAGTTTGGTCCCTGTGGCAGTGTACCTTTAACGCTGGGAGCATTTCCTCGCTGTATTGCGATACTTATTCGTTGAGCGAGGAAAGCACCAGCCCTGCGATTCTGTAACTCACTTTTCGAACTCACTCAGCGGTTTTCGCATCGGCGGTCGCTCTGAAATCAGTCGTGAAGCAGTCATTTTATGATTTGGCATTCTAATAAACAATAAACTACAAGCTTCCACTTTTTCAGAATGCCAAATCATAAAATGACTGCTTCACGACTGATTTGAGAGCGACCGGCGATCCGAAAACCGCTGTGTGAGTTCGAAAAGTGAGTTACAGAATCGCAGGGCTGCTCTGGGGTTACCAATACTATCTACCAGGCGCCAACTTAAATCTATAATCTTTTGTTCTACCTTTCAGTTTCTATTCTTGAAAATATTATATTGACTGCGAGAGTTAAACTAAATAACTTATACAGAGTAGTCCGAAAATCGCCACCTGGTGGGAGTTGTGGGGGATTGCAACGATAATATTATTTCTACTTTCGATATATAATATTTGCAATCACAGATTACGATACAAGTTCCATAATTCAATACTTTTCTTTAAATATTGACTAATGGTACACTGTGCCTAGGCGCAATGGCTGGTAAATTTTTAGAATGTAATATGACTGTTCTAAAAAAATGATAGAAATTTTGATTTATCATTTTGATTGAATACTCGTAGTATCAGTCGATACGTCACTAATGACCTGTCCTGTCTGGATTTGTCCAAAATTTGTGGTATTGTCGCGTAAGGGAGATAGTCACATCCTCACAACCTGTACCAAGAATCACGGGATTGCTCAACTGCTGCAATCTGAGTTCAGCGATATGAAGAAAAGCGTTAATCCTTGCGTACTGATCTTGACTCGTTGTTTGAATTCGCACATAGTCTATAAGAAAGCAATGCCCGTACGTGTTACTAACAGGTTATTGATCACATTGGCTTTGTGGTTTAATCATTGCTATGCAGTAAACGATTGTATATATTATAATTATCTATATATCGTGGCTAAGTGGGTTCGTAAAGGAACCGTAACGACAGTGATATCGGTATCGATTCTCGGTTAAAGCGCAAATTATAATTATATTTGTGATTTGTTGTAACAACGTTATATCTCAACTCATATGGCACATACGAAATTTCACTATTAGATCAAAGTTGTATGTTGTAAGCTATTTGGGCGCCTTCGGTAGTACATTCAGTGCCCCGTGTGACCGCTGAGGGTTCGTTACAAAGGTTTGACCACTAAAATTATGATTGCGTAATAAGCTTAAATTAAATCGCTAACTTTAAGCTAGCCTTCACAGTGAAAAATATTTATTCGAATCTCGACACGACCTGAAGTGATTCATGGAAATACAAGTTTTTTTGCATAGAATTTTTATAAGCGCCATTAAGGTAATTGCGCTTTTTAATTACTCGACTAATTTAGAGGAATAAGATCGTTTATTAACTTTAATTGACTGCGTCATACTTATATTTATAAAAGAAAAATAAAGAATATTTATAGTGCACATAGATCGCCGCGGATAAAAAAACCTACGACCTCATGAGTCATGGATAAAGGTATAAGCAGATGCGCTTGTGCCACTGCTTTGTGGTGGAGGGTTATGTGGGACACGCATCTGTTCAAACCCCTAAAAGCCCATGGCACCACCAGCAATCGCCCGACGCAGGGCTCATATCCGCATCCCGCTACGCATTCCGCCGTTGAACTCACGACCCCCTACGGCCATGAATGATATGGAATCGACCTTGGCAGAAGAATCAAGCGCCATTCTAACAACGGCCACTTCGCCCTGGTTTGTAGACCTCGTTTGCAAAGAATGCAATGATGAAGCAGCATTCCTTTTTCTGGATGCGTTGCCCGGCGGAACTATGACGCTGTGTTCTCCTACAGAGACGCTGATGTGCTGCGGGATCGACCTCTCTGGCACTCTCCGCCTCTTCTTTATGAGGCATCACGGCCTCGCAGAAGCAGAAGTTACCAGGCTAACCCTGCTGCTGCAGTTTTGTTGTTATAGTGTGTTATTTTTGTTGGGATTTCTTTATATTATTCATAGCTAATTCATTTATGTTTTATATTGTCTATAGTGTTGGCTTTATGTATTATCTACTATACATACATGTATTCTAATAATTTTATAATAGAGTTTAGTCACGTAACAGTCATTATATTTAATATACCTATTTTTAGAAATTGGACCACTCATATAGATAAGTTTTTTACTTCACAGGAAGTGATTTGATGATTGATTTAAGTAATGTACAAGATGTGTTTAACTTAATGTTTAAAAATTAATACACCAAAATCTGTCTAATGTAAATTTTAATCCGCTGTTGAAATTCTAAGAAAGCATTGAACATTGAGAGTCACATTTTATAAGCATAAGTAAAATATCGAAGTTTAATTAAACGTTATAAATACAGTATTAATGTTATGAAGCAAAACTCCGAATTATTTATGCACAAACGCTTATCAGAAAAGCTCGTTATTGGATTTAAATTTTATTTTATTAATAAATCATCATACTGAATTCAACATAAAGTAACAGGGTCAGTAGTAAGCTAATGCATTCGATTTTCAACTGAGGTCGTGTTTCGAAACTAATTGTGCAGTAGACTACTTTTTATCTGATCTATTCTTTATTTTATTTCTATAGACACCATAGATATGAAATTGGCATGTATAACACTTTGAGTCAAGAAAAGACGGCTCGCTACGAGTAGTTAAGGAAATTACTTATTTTTAATCCCCGGGGGGGGGGGGGGGGGGGGCGGGGGGGGGGGTTTGGCGGCCCACACGGTTTTTACTCACTTCGAGTAAAACTATCGAGTAATACGTTGAGTACTGACCTTAAAAGAATACTTATTTTTTTCAAATAGACGCAGAAAATTGTTCTCAATACCTATTAAATATTATAGCGTCTAGGACAAATGTATGTCAATTGTCACCTTGAAATATATATATTTCTTTCAATTTTATGAATGAACCACTATAGTAAAAGATAAGTATAAACCTAAACAATGATGAAGATCATCTTTAAAGCTTAGTTGGTAACGACATTGTGCATAACTTAGGTCAAAATGTTGGGTAATGCCGAATTTCATACAGTAGGTAGGATAAGAACTCGATTTTAAAACAATGATTAATGCCAATAGTGTTAACCAAGGTAGAAATGCACTGAGGTAACCTCCGTACTAAAGGGTGTGGGAAGTTCGTCTCAGGACGTACGACTAGGCTTGCTACTCAGCCGATGGGTAGCTCCAACACGACCGCATCAAAGAGGGCGCCGGGGACGCTTTTGCATTCTATGGGGACATAATAATTATCTTCCAATAACTGTTACAATGAATTATATTTAAATATCAAATAATAGTTTTTATTGTTATTAATTAATCTGAGCGTTTTAGTAAATGACAGTGTATTATGATATATAATGCCACTTTGTACTTACCCGCTGTTCCTATTTGGCAACGTCATTAGTATTATGCAATAACTATGTTTACATATTATAATAGAGTATGTTTCCTCTGATAAAATCGAAATACACTGAATTTGGTAAAATGTGCGGTTTGAATATTGTACTGTTATCACATTTATTTTGACATCCCAGAATTCCACGACGATATGTTTCAATACAGGTTTTAAATACATTTAACGTTATCAATAGTATTAATGCACTGTAATAATGACAAATTAAACACAGCTGTCATTTGACATATCCCTATTCAATAACCATGATACTAGGCTTTGATTTTTTTTTAAATTCATTTTAATGTTTTAATAACGTACGTACAGACTTTTTATGATGTACTTGATTGTACTGGGTTTCATGCAAACAAGTCTTATAATTCTAACAAAGTTGTATTACTATATTCTAAACTTGATAAAGCTTTCCTATATATCGGCTTAAATAATAGTAAAATCAGGTAATAAAATTCATAAAGGGAGTCAAGATAAAATGTTAGTATTAGTTGGGTGAATCGCGAGTTGGACGGGTTTCAAGCTGAGTACGTGCTTGTTACGACTGCGGAGGTTTTGATATATCCTTTGTTTAGATTGAGGTATTTTAAGAAGACTAGCTAAGAATACATTTTACGCAGTTGCAGTGCTCATATTACCAAGCTTGTAAACTTTTTTATTTTGCCTTTTGGGTTATAATTCAACTATACTTTGATGTAGGAGTGTTGGCCTAGTGGCTTCAGCGTGCAACTGTCCGAACTCTGGCTGCGCAATAGACGGTTTGGCTCGTACGGAGAAGAAAATCGGCATGCCTAAGATCTAAGAAATCCACGGGCATGTTTCAGGTACAGAAGGATAATCTCCCACTTACGGATTAGCCAAGACCTAAAAACGTTGTAGTTTATACCTAGATATTTTCAATTATTAAAGAAGAATGACGCCCTCGGAAACTAAGACTGTATGATGAAGCTTATGCTTAAAGATGTTTACCGTTAAGATATCATAGCGAACCATCTCTTTATTACTCTATGTTTAAAGTCGTTAGAACTATATATAACCTTGTAAACAAAACTCTTCAAATATCTTAAGTGCAGGTTATATGTTATTCATATAGTAATTGCCCTGAAATATGAGGCAGTCAGTATGACTGTCAACTACATGATAAACGAGCAACTCACTGCAGTCTACGTTTTATCACTTGTACTAAACCCACGCCCAATCTTTAGTATAAAGTTTAATTCATTAAACATCGTAGGTGCGTAAATATTTCCAAAGTAATTTATAGGATACGAAAGATGAACACCAGAAGGCTATAAGTAGCGTGAACAGCAGTTCATTGCAATCATTATTCAAATTGTGTGCTCACTGCGGTAAAGCATAATATTATGACATAGAAAAATATATTATAGACAATAATTATGAAAAACACGTAATAAGAATTATTAGCTTGATGCGCCTACAAACTATTACAATATATTATATATTTATATATTTTGTTTAAATATTATATTTATTGATGTTTATATAATTGTAGTAATCTTTTCACGGCGACCATTAAAAATATTGTGTCTTAATATTTGGTGTCGTAATTGTAAAAATATCTTACAATATTTCACTAAAAGAACTTTGAGCTCAATAATATTCAAAACGCCTACTACTAATTATTGGAAAAGTGTAGTGACTTCCGGTGGATCATAATTACTTTGATTACATTTTAATGACATTTAACATTCATAAAGAGTTTAATTGGTGTTCAATGAGGTGAGTACAGTAGCTGTGAATCAAATATTTGCTCATAACATTTTTATATGAAGTACTAGCTGACCGGGCAAACGTCGTTTTGCCATATATATCATTTATAATAAAAAAATAGGGGTTGATCGTAGAGGGGTGAAAGTTAGGGGTTTGTATGTATTTTTTAATGCTGTATCATAAAAATAAAAATAAATATTTAGGGGTGGACTACCCTTAACATTTAGGGGGATGAAAAATAGATGTTGTCCGATTCTCAGACATACCCAATATGCACACAAAATTTCATGAGAATCGGTCGAGCCGTTTTGGAGGAGTATGGCAACGAAAACTGTGACACGAGAATTTTATATATTAGATTATTTGATAAATGTCAAACATCACTGCGTCGGTTCTAGGGTTGCTATTATTTGTGACTTGTATTAATGATTTGTATAGATATAATTAACACAATTTGTTTACTGACGTAGAAATCAAACTAAAGATACATGTAGTACTGTTGCTACCAACGACAGTCGCCCAAAAGATCATGACATTATCTTACGGCGAAATCACGGTTTTAATGATACATAAACATTAAGGAAACACTGTAATATTTCAACTCGTTAGCACACGTTGAAACAATGCGCGAGCAAAGTTTCGTAATAAAAACACTCACCGATCGCAGCGAGTGAAATAATGATGAGTAGAGCGATCAAACGCGACATGACTACCCCTCACGGCCGCTCGCAGCTAACTGAGGATGTAGGCATTGAGATCTTTCATCAGAAAATGCGCTGGAAAAGCTAAATAATTGGTTAGACACCAGAATATGTAGGCCTTTTGATAACTGTTTACGCATTGAGTTGTTTTGCAAATTTAAATAAGCGTAGGCCTCGCGTAGCAGAATTACGTCGTAGCGTATTTGTTTATAACTTATGTAACGTGTGTTAGACGTAGAAGTTAGAAATGTTGACGATAGCAATCAGGTCTTCTTTGACTGTTTAAAATTAAATCAAATACAACAATAAAAACAAAGCTAGTACTTATACTATATATTATAGTGTACCGTCATAACGACTGGAGAATACCAGTGTATTTGTAAAATGTTTCCAGATTTAGAAGAACTATCTTGGGTTTAGCGTTTTACTTTGTTAATAGACTACTATGTAGCACAACTGCAGTACATATAGTACTGCAGTAATTTAATAGTATTTCGTATAAAACCTAGTTTTATTTTTCAGCCAATGTCAAAACAATAATGGTCACAATAACATAGGGTTTTTAAATTGTCGTAGTGTTTTATAACAAAGCAATTATGCAGCACATAAAGCGCTGAATAGTCAGATCTATAGAGGGTTGGCCCCGCGTCCCCGAATGCGGCATTGCGTTTACACGTCTCCATACACGACTTTTGTGAAAAATCTCGGAAAAACGTGCTGTTTTTACAAGCCTTTTCATCATGCCATGTTCATTTTGTAACTAGAAACATGATGTTTTTTAGTTTTTTATAAATAAAGAACGTTCCATTTTTGTAAAGTCAACGTAATGTTTTTGTGAATTCACCTACGAATATTAATATTACGGTTTACTTTAATCAAAGATAATAGACTAATTAGTTTTAAAAAATTGGACGAACATTTAATATAATAGATTGTTTAAGAGAACGTAATTAGCTGTCTTGTGTATTGTAGGTTCAAAAATATGTTTATAATTTGTATGACACAATTTGTGTTCAGCAAAAGAAAAACAGAAAATAATGAGGACATGTAAAAGAAAGTGCCCTTAGAGTAGGTCAGTGTTTTCTAGTCTCGTCATCACCACACTTGGCAGCTTTGTCGTTTCTTAGTACTTTCTCAGAGACAATTTT